CAAACGAGATGGTCACTATTGTTTAGTAATGAATTCTGTTGAAGGCATGTCACCATAACCACTTCCTAATCCAAAATTTACTATTGTGTGTGGTCTAGCGAGGTGGACATTTTCAGATTTGACTTCCCACAATACCTTTCATCCTCGCCCTAATCCACCCTCGACACTTCCTTCTGTTTCCCTTGATTCTCATGCTGACGTGGTTACTCGCATCACTCAATCACTTGCTGATCTCCGCACTCAACACCAACGCCATTATACCGAATTCGTGCAGTTTCAGGATTCCCAACTTCTTCATCAACAACGCATGGAACAATTGCTCCAAGAGGTGATGGAATTCCTCCGCTCCAACCAACCATAATTTTGTGAGTTCTATCCCTTCTAGTCTTAGTTATTTTGCTTATGTTGGGGACAACATAAACATTTAAGCTTGGGAGGGTCAATTGCATGTCATTCTGTTGTTACATTTGCATAACATATACATTGAATTGGGAATTCATTATCTTAACTCAAGTTTTAAGTTTGTTCAGTGATATTTTGTGAAGCATACTATGGTTATCTGTCATGATTATTTGTTGGGAAACTTCACACACTACACAGGAAGTCTGGACACTATGACACTCAAGGAAGAAAATTTTTGAGTCATCGAGTAAAAAAGATATGAAAGTTTTTAAATTTTTTAGGTTTCTATGGTGACACTCACTGCATTTGGTTACTGGAGAATTGTCTGTTAGTTCACAATAATGTAAAAAAAATAAAAATAAAAATAAATAAAAGCATAATCAGTGAAATGACACCCCTTTAAGACTATGTGAGTTACTGGGGAAAGAGGCACTCCTTTGAGACCGGGTGTGCTAAGTGCAAAGCATTTGAGTGGAAGATCCATGTTTAGTTGGCAGGTAATTGTCTTCTAGGCCAGAATCTAAGAAAAAGTTTTGTAAAGAGAAAATACAGCTCAAAGATTATCTTCCTTGATGTCTTGTGCTTTACATCCTTTCCTCAATTCACTTAGGGACCCAACAATTGTGGAATATATACTTTTGGAATATCATTGATTGAATTTGGATTTGAGACAAGACGATGCATTCCCAATCAAAAACACTCATCATTTTGTTTGTATTATCGTCTTGTTTTTATTAAATTCTCTTTGCTTAAGGACAAGAAAAAGTCTAAGCTTGGGAGAATTTGATGAGTGGATAAAATATCATTACATTCATGCATTAATTTAGGGTAATTTCATATGTTCTTGCATTATGGGAATGATTTCATCATACATGTTGGTTTGTGCATTGTTCTTGTAAATAGGTGTTTGGAGGTTTAAATTCATAGTTTGGAGGGAGTTGGTGTCAAGATAGAAAGATTTCAGATCAGCAAGTTCCACAGGTACTTTGTTAAATGTTCCACAACCTGTGGATTTGATACCAGAATGCAAAGATCAAGATCAGATAGCTCCACAGGTTGATTGTGGATTTTTCCACAGCCTGTGAATTAGACTCCAAAAGATTGCACGAAGTCAGAGAGCTCCACAGGTGAGTTATGGATGTTTCCACAACCTGTGGATTTTTTGGTTCAGAAGGCACAGTTGAAGTCAGAGAGTTCAATAGGTGGGTTGTGGATTTTTCCACAACCTGTGGAAATTCAAGACAGTTATGAGAAGTGGTAACTACTTCAACAAGTGGAGAAAAAACGTGGAACACCCTATAAAGAAGGTGGAACGAAACTGAAAAGGGGAGGGGAAGAACCATTCTGGAATTTTTTACGTTCTACCTATTATCTTTTAGCAATTTTTACATTATGCAGAACTGATTTCCCTGTTGTTAGAGGATTGATGTAGTACTCTGAATTATATTTTCTTGTTCTTGACAATTGATGTTTAGTTAATGTTCTTTATCTCAGTGTTCTATTTATAATTTTCAAGTTCATTCTACGAGCAGTTTCACAATTGGGAGATTGGAGGTTGTACGCGATCCTAAATATAATAGGTTAGGGTTTGTCACAATTGGAAAATTGGGCATATATCTAATTAGTTTGCAATAGAGAAGATTATTGTTTTTTAATGATTCTATTGAATGGTGTAACTGACCTAAGGGATTGGGGGTTCAGATTCAATGAATAGTTTTGCCTACTAAGGGATTAGGGGTAAAACAACTCTGGGTAAACTTAAATGGATAATTACATTTCTTGCATCAATTGAAGGACTGGAATTATATAGGGAAGGGTATGAAATCAATTCTCTAACAAATCTTATTTTGACTAAAGTTCTTATTATAATTTTATGTTTGCTATTTTATCCAAATTTTTAATTGCTCAAACTTACGTACATTAGGAATCTAGTATTCAACAAATTCAATCCCAGAGGACGATATTTTATTACTACGTTAATGATTGGTGTACTTGCCAAACGTTCATCATTATTGAGAATGTATTGTATGTTTCAGGCATGAAATGTAATTTGCTTAGTGTGGGACAATTAGTGGAAAAAGGATTTTCTGTGAATATGAAAGATGGATTGTGTATGACTCCAAACAAAAGTTGATCCTGAAAGCCCCTTTGTCCAAAAATAGAACCTTTCAGACAAGGTTTGATCAGATTGAGAATCAATGTTTAACTGCTACAAGAATTGACAAAACAGCGGGCTATGGCATGCGAGGTTTGGTCACCTAAATTTTTAGAGTTTGAAGAAGTTAGCTACTGAAGAAATGGTTACTGGACTGTCAGTTATCTTAATTCTAGAGATGGTCTATGAGGGATGTTTGATTGGGAAACAATCCAGAACTTCTTTTAAGTCACACATACACATGAGGGCAAAAGACTTGTTGCATGTTATATACTCAAATATTTGCGGGTCATTTGAGGTTTTGTCATTAGGACAAAATCGTTATTTTGTTTCGTTTGTAGACAAGTATAGCATGATGATATAGTTGTATCTAATCAAAGCCAAAAGTGATGTATTCTCAATTGTCAAAAGGTATAAAATCTTTGTTAAAAAACAAGCTGAAAATTCTTCGAACAGATGGACGGGGTGAGTATACATCTCTAGAATTTGAAAAAGAGAAAGTGACATTCAGCATGAGGTGACAATCTCATATACACCACAACGTAATAATCTTGTCTGAAAGAAGAAATAAGACCATTCTTGATACGACTAAAGATATAATAAAATATGGACACTTTTTTCTTATTATGAAATATAATTCCCTTTTTTTTTAATTTGTTTTTAAATAATTTTGTCCTCTTCGAACTTTTAAATTTTAATTTAATTGAAATTTGTCACCTCCCTAACACACCTATGCGGGTGTTTATTGGATGAGAGGAAATTTGTCACCTCGTTAACAATGTCAAATAAATATAAATAAAGTGTTGATAGGATGTTTATAATTTTGTGAGTGTAAAAATAATAACAGCCAACAAATTTTATTTTCTTACAATGAACAAACTTCTAAATCCCAAAATACTTATAAATCAACATATCTAAGCATAAATTCAATCTTCTCATTATCAAATTTTTAAAAGAAAAAATTACAATAAACCATATTTTATTATGATATTTTCCACAGAGTTGGAAGAGGTCCTGGATTTCAAATATTCTTAGCAAAGAGTTGAGACATACATGACAATAGAATTTTTTTACGTTGTCATTCAATTACAAATTGTTAAGTATGATACAATTACTGACTTGTATAATAGTTGCTTGTTAAGTGATTTTTGGATCATAATATATAAATCTTTGTTCTAATCAGTATCAAAATTAATCTTAAAGATAAAAGACGTGTACTTTGTCAAACTATGTAAATGACGCAGAAGCTAAATATTAATTCTTCTCTTCTATAATACAAGTCACTGTTAAAATATAAATACATACATCAATGCAAATAATTGATTCTATGGAATTCTTAAATAAATTTCGAAAATAATCAATAATATACAAAAAAGAAGACAAATGTATTGCTTTACTCTAATCAAAACTAGAAAAACTTTGGACCAAGCTTTTGTAAGAATGGTTTTGGTATCCCAAAGAAGAAGAAAAATTACAACTAAAACTCTTGACAAATACAAACCCACCAACATGTGAAAAGAAGTGCTAAAAATGAAAAATTACATCACAAAAGAACAGATAAAAATGGGTAATATCTCAATTGTGGAACCCAAACTAGGTGTAGACAAGATTGCAAAGTGAAAAATGAAGGATTATTTTGAATTTAGTCTATGGAGAAAGAAAAGGATAATTGTCAAGAATGGGATTCGAACCCATGCCCTTTCGGACCAGTACCTGAAACTGGCGCCTTAGACCAACTCGGCCATCTTGACACGTGCAATTGTTTTACATGAAATATTATTTATCTCCTAAGTATCTAAGAACATAAACATTTCCCACAAAATGCAAGCATTAAGCTTATTACTGGATCAAAATAAATTTGTGATAGTAAAAGAAAGAGAGAGGAGAAATAAAGAACGAAAATAAAAATAAATTAATATTTTAAATTATTTTAATAATATTTATAATTGTCATTATTATAATAAATAAAAATATATTAATTAAATATTTAGTTTAATTTTTTTATAATTTTAGTAACTTTCTTTGCATATGTGAAGTTTTCTACCTTGAAATTGACATTTTTATCTTTAAAATGTCAAAAAACTAATAACATTATTGTCTTTCTTAGTATTTCTTTAGGTCTGTTGATCTAAATAAACACACACACACACTATATATATATATATATATATATATATATATATATATATATATATATATATATATATAACTTATTTATGTTTTTTGAAGAGTAACATCGCACCTTTACTCTAAATTTTATTATTAATCTTAAACACAAAACCCATCAAATACATTAGTTTCCTTTAAAATGGAATTTAACCATTGCAACTTCACCTAAGATTTAACAGTGCGAGTGTGGTTCCCGGGATTTCCCTCCAACTCAAACTGCATAAAAGCCGAAATCTTTGTTCGTGGTGCCAAGACCCTTAAACCCCTTCACGCCATGAAGTCCCTTCTAAACCCAAAGTTTTCAGCTTTATCTTCCAAAGCCTCTCATTTTCCTCTGTTTTCACTACCTTCTCGACCCACATCTCGGGTATCTTTCCGCAACACCCCACGTCCAATCCCCAATCGTCTTCTCCGCCTCAACCCACCACCCTTTTCGTCCAATACTTTCACTTGCACCAATCAAAATCGAAGGTTGCAAACAGAGCCCTCGCCACCTCCCCCCGGTGAGATCCACGTCATAGTGGGGCCCATGTTCGCCGGAAAAACCACCTCGCTCCTTCGTCGGATTCAATCGGAAACCGCCAACGGCAGGTCAACTCTTCTCTATTTATCTTTAGTTTTATTATTAAAAGCAAAATCCTTTAATCTGAAGTATTTGTTTGTTTGATGTTTATCTTAATTTTTATGCTTGAATAGTTGGTTGTTGAATGTATTTTGTCATGGTTATATTTGTTTACAGTTATAGGCGTGTCGTGCTTGCAACTTTTGGTGCCCAATGTCATTATATGTTTTGTACTTTGATTTGGGGATACTTTTTTTTGCAATGCCATACTGGTTGCCATCATCACTGGCGGCTATTTTCAGCTTTGAGATCAAGCCTTGCCTAAAAAACTGAATGTGGATTAGGTCTTGAGAGGTCTTTCTATATCTCGAAGACTGATGGAGGTAATTGTGCTCTTGTGCGGAACAGATTGGCCACGCTGCAGAGAGCCTGTTCTCTGATGCTGCATGAATGCATATTCTGGAAATAATATTAGAGGGGGGGAAACAATCCTTACACATGATTGTTGTGTGATATGTTCCCAACGGATGTTAGAAAATCAATTTGTTAATATTGTACTTACATGCAAAATTGGGATGTCTAATGAAAGACTTAAGTTTTACATCAAGTAGAGATAGTGTCAAAATACAATATTTAAGTGGGATCATCCTTAGACCTAAATTACTTTGATTGAGTTAGACCTAAACTACTTTTTATGATGGTATCAATCTTTATCTTAAATTCATTAAAAGGTTCAATTACTGGGTTATCTACTTACCAAGCACAATAGTACTAGACATGAGGGGGTGTATAGGCAAAAATCTAAGTCCTACATCAAATTAGAGATAGTCTTAAAGTACATTATTTAATTGGGGGCAATCCTATTTTTTCCAAGTCAATTTGTGGAGTTGAATTAGATCCAGACAACTGTCTAAGATCTAAAAACTGCTCACTTCCTATTCAATAACTTGGTGGAGAAGGACTTGGTGTTTTTGAACTGCTGTTATAGATGTTTATGTGCAACAAGACCTTGAAGAAGTCCAATTGGACTTTTGTTATGGGATGAGATGGGCTGTTTTAAGACCAGATCAATATATCTTTGCATCAGCTCTCAGTGCATGTGCAACTTTGGCAGCATTAGAACCTGGGAGGCAAGCCCATGGGTTAATCATCTAGTGTCAAATTAGAGACAACGTCATAGTCAACAGTGCCTAATATCCATTTATTTTAAATGCAATTTTTTGTGTGTTGGGCATCTCTTCTTTGATAAGTGTTTGGCTAGAGACACCATTACTTAAACCAATTTTCTTGGGATTACAGTCTTTGTTAGAGAAGGAAGTTTATGAAATTATGCCACAAGCTAAACATTATGCACCAATGGCAATGGTTGATCTTTTAGGGCATGTGGGAACTTAAACGCGGCTTATGAATTTGTTCTGTAGTCATCTTGTAAAGAGCACTCAGTGATATGGGATCCCTTACTTGGGGCTTACGAGCATTAAAAGTTTGATCTAAGAAGTATTTTAAATTTGAATGCGTAAATGCTGGGTAGTATGTTTCCTTGGCAATTTTTATGCCTCTGAGTATTTCCCCTCCTAGGATCAGTATACAAAATTTATGGATAGATGTAGAGTATACATGCCACAGTTAGTATGATTCTGTTCTTTGCACGTGAAGATCTTGATATATATATCATAGTCATTTTACATCCTCTTAGAAACATATATAGCTGACATAAGTTTGAATGTTCTAGATTTTCTGTTTATGGGCCTCATATTCCTTCGGTTGTTTTTATTGTTGCGCCCCTCTTAAAGAGAAAGTCTCCTGTATTCAATTTCTCTAATGGAAACAAGTATGGTTTGCTATGATAATGAGGCTCGTCTCACTTCCTTTGGGTATGAGTCTGATCTCCCCCAGCATTGGAATTTTGGCTTGGCCCTGAGCATAAGGAGCTTCAGTGGGTTTTGAATCTCTATACTGTATCTTAAGTCTGCCTGCATCTCCCTTAACACATAAGGTGCTTACAGTAGGCCTTGAATTCCTATACTGTTTCCAAAGTCCCCTCACCTTGAGCGCAGTTTTCCAATTGAGTCAGACCTAGTAGTTAAAAACAAGTGGTTTCAGTTTCATACTTTCATCTCTTTTTGGAAGCATGGAAAGTTAATTCTGGATGTTTAATACTGATAGAATGATAGGTGAAGCTTATGTTCCTGTGATAGCTCTCGATGTATACCACGTCAGTTCCTGATTGTTATATTTGTTTATTTTCCAGGAAACTCACTGAATGGTTTAGCAATAGCATGATTCATGAGGTACATTTTTAAACTTTGTGTTTCTTTTATGCAGAAATGTAGCAGTAATTAAATCAAGCAAGGATACAAGATATGGATTAGACTCAATTGTTACACATGATGGTGCAAAATTACCATGTTGGGCTCTGGCAAACTTATCATTATTCAAGCAGAAGTTTGGAATTGATGCTTATGAGAAGGTAACATAATTTGATGTTCAGAACATGTAGTTAATGATTTGTCTTTATTATCTATAACCCGGAAAATCCAATTTGTGGTAGTGTACATGGATTCTAATTGGTAATTATGTGATTCGACTATGTAATGTGTGGCTGTTGATAATTTAATTTCCCCCCCACCATGTCCAAGGTATATACTAGTTTACTGCCTGCATTTTGTTTTCACTCTCACAACTGATAGATGATGGCAGCTGGATGTGATTGGTATTGATGAAGCTCAATTCTTCGATGACCTTTATGAATTCTGCCGTCAAGCTGCTGATCATGATGGAAAAACAGTAATAGTTTCGGGATTAGATGGTAACTATTTGAGGTAATGGTACATAGTTGTAAAATTCCATTTTGTTTTGTGGGGTTGCAATGAAGCCAAACTTTCACATGTTTTGTCTTGATGACCCGTTTCACTCAACTAACTTGAAGTGGCCCAAATTTTTATTCTCATGGGTGCGGGTTTCAGCAATTAAATTGTGTTAACAAGTTTAAGTTATATTTTTGTTGTCCTAACATGCCCAAATGTCCTATATATGTTCTAAAACTATACACTTTTTAACAGTCATATGTTAATAAGTTTTTTTTAGTCAAGGAACAATGTTTGGCATAAACTAATATTATTATTTATACTGTATTGATATTATTTATTTGGAAACATATAGTAAAATATAATTATAAATCAAGATGTCATGCCAACAAATCAAATTGACATAGCCTTGTCTTAATTCTTTTAGAATTTTATACTAAGGTTGATTTTCAGTCTTAATTCTTTCTAGCCATTCAAATTGTGTATTTAATAATGGTCAGGGATATAAGTTGTGTCAGGGGAATATAGATACCATCACAACTAGAATTCATTCATGACCTGATTTGAGCTAATTCCTACATGTGATAGTGTTTCTGCATTTACTGGCAGGAGGAGCTTTGGTTCTGTTCTTGATATAATTCCCCTTGCTGATTCTGTAACCAAGTTAAGTGCTACATGTGAAATCTGTAGAAAGCGTGCTTCCTTTACCCTGAGGAAGACACAGGATAAACAGATTGAATTGATTGGTGGAGTTGATGTCTACATGCCAGTGTGTCGGCAGCACTATGTCAGTGGACAGGTAGCCATGGAAGCGGCAAGGCATGTCCTTGAATCTCACAAGCTTGAATGTGGCTCCCATACATAAAGTTGCTTCACATTTCTCAGCAGTTGCATCACTTCCATCGTTGTGACATATCTATATATTGCAAGGAACTATCCAGAAGGTTATTTTTCATCTAAGCATGTCAACGTAGTTTCAATCATTGAATTTTCTTCATCTTACGGACACGGATTAGACAGATCCAAGGAGAGATGGCTCGTAGTATACAACGTCCTTACAATTATAATTTTATGAGAAAACCATCGATGTATCCTGTGTTTAGATTGAGAGGCTGGTGCACCTTGAAAGTTGGAAACTGGATGAAATTTGGATTCATCATTCTGAAAATACTAATTATGTATTGTACGTTGTAAAATACAGGATCTTACTCACCAGTGTCTTGGTTAAGAAATTAGAAAAAGAAAGTTTATAAATTAAGAAATTATATGAAAACATATTAAAAAAAATAGTAACAGACTGCATTTATACACTAATAATTTCTTACATTCCTTTGGTTAGTATTTTTTTTATATCATAATGTGAAAGTTTAACAGTTTCATGTTTAACAATAACCTTTAAAGATTGATCCACATAGAAATATTTACAGTGGATTTAGGACAAATCACTTCCCAAGTAAATTGGTAGGGTTAACCTATTTAATGACTCTTCGCATGATCCGTGGATGAACAATATGCACAAAGATCTTGTATCTTTCATGGACATTGATAGATAAATAGATAGACTTGAATTTAACTACAGTGTTTTTAGCAAGACCATAACTAGCCCTCCAGTTCAATGGGTCAACTACTATTCAGAAAAAAAACTAAAAAAAAAACTAAAAAATTGATATATTTTTATACCATTTCAGAAATCAAATTATAACTAATCTAGTAATGACTTCATAAAATTCCAAAAATAATCAATAATATTATTTAAAAGTTCTTATCAATTAATTTATTTTTTTATAAATCTTAGATCTTATCAAATGTGATAGAATTACTTGTTATAAAATTGTACGCAACAGACATTTTACTAAAAAGAGTTATTAAAAATTATCCTCATCATAAACAATTTTAAAGGATTAAGAAAATATATTATATTTTTAATGAGTGTTTTCTTTGAATAATTTTGTTTTCATTAAAAAAAACAAAATATGTACTAAACTGTATTTTTTTTTAATATATTTGACTGGAGAAGATAATGTTTTATTTCAAAATGTTTAAATAATATATGTCCTTCAATTAAATAAAAAAAATTGTAATATACTATTTTTAATTGTTTTTTATTTTATATCTTTTAAGTTATTTTTTATTTTATATTTGACCAGATATAAATTTGGGTAAATCATAAGATAACAAATCTCATAGCCAGGCCTCAGAATTGCAGAATAATAACAGCAAGGCATGAAGCCATTCAGTCCCGAAAGATGGTATTGGTGAATTTTATCATCATCGGCGGCAGCTATATTTTATGGGTGGACGACAAATAAAGAGTTCATTGGTTATATCATTCAATAAAAATGAAGGCAAAGAAATGAAAAATGTAGGCACCAATTGACGCAATAAGCTGGAAAATCAAAGCTCATTGCCTGGAAAGTGACAAGTGTTCGATATAAGAGAAGGATCTTTGAAAAAAGCGGAATCCCAGGCTTATTTTCCTCTTCTCCCCTTCTCATCAATCATAAAAAAAAAATTGAACTTTATTGATGGAAGGAGTGTGAATGTGAGAAGCTCGGTAAGCAGATCTGTTGACAGAGACCCCCAAAAGGATATCACAACAACCGGCCAGTTAGCTTCTCTAACTCTAATTAATTTGGCTACAGCCACTATGGCACATTCAAGATCAAGGGTACAGCTTTTCGCTCCTACCCTTCCCTTGGTACATGCAGCCTCACCACAACTAAATCCAAATCAAATAACCAATACTTTCAATTGATATGCAACCACAAACAAGAGTTTGCACCCAACAAATTCAAAAACTCCCCAATCACAAATCACAAGCCAGTTTCACAACACCAAAACCAACATCTCAATAAAAAAAAATAAAAAAAATAACAAGTAGCCTCAGAATTGCAGAATAACAGCAAGGCTTGATGAGCCATTCAGTCCCGAAAGATGGTATTTGGTAACTGATATCGTCATCGGCTACTACATTTTGGTTCTAGAATAACACAAAGGCGATGGAAATCATTCAGAATAGAGAGGCGGCACCAAAATGAAAAAACCTAGGTTTAGAAGAGGGATTCTCATGCTACCGTATTCAAGCGTAGTTTGAACTTTGCGTTAGGTTTGTTTATAAATACTACACGTTGCTCATTTGGGCCTATGGGCCTCCCTCTTTGTTGCTTTATTCTGTTCAAAAACAGTTTTTGTACAAAAACAAAATTACGTAGGTAATTTGAAAAACAAATATAATTAAAACACATTTTATACAAATACCTCTAAAAAAATATTATAAAAACATTAAAAAAAATCATAACTTTTGCTTAATTCTTAATTTGAATTTTTTTTCGTAATCCATTAATTTGACATTCACTGAAAAAAAGTTTGGATTAGGGTAGAAATGAGATAGATCAAATTTTTTTAAAGGATAAAACTTAAGTAAAGTTTTTGAACGAAAACATTATTAACCAAATTTCATAATTAAACATATCATCTCCTAAAAAATTGTGAACATTTTAATAAAGTGCATTGCTTATTATCATTCCTGATTAAGGAAGGGATATGTGATGTTAAATTAAAATTTTTAGTTGATAATAATTTGTCTTTTGTCAGTTTTTTTTTCATATCTATTTTATATTTGTTTAATTTTAATTGATCAAATAATAATTCTGTCTTATATAATACTTGTTTAAATAATTTTCTTCTTATGAAATTATAGAAGAAGATAAATAAATTTTTCCATAAAAATTTAACTTATATATAATTTTAAAATAATATTTTCTAGATAAATTAATATAAGATAACTTTAAAATTAATTTATAAATAATTTTATTTTACTCACTTTTTTTCAAGAATACTTACGAAACCGTTATTCAAATATTCCTTATCATACGCTACGGTAACAAAGTATATATATATATATATATATATATATATATATATATATATATATATATATATATATATATATATATATAAATCCTTATTTCTAACATTTTGTGAGTGTCGTATTTCAAATTTAGTTTATATCTTTATTCAAAAGATTTTAAACAAATTTTAAAAAGAGAAAAAAGAATAAGGAAATTTTTTTTATATATAAATAAAAATCATGTAAATGTTAAAAAGAAAAAACTTAAATAATTTATACGATAAAAAATCTACAAATTATTTTTTACATAATTAACTTTAATTATGAAAGCAATAATTTATTTTTTTACTTTTTCTTCCAAACAATTTATATCATATCTAATTTTCACTCTCATTAAAAAAAATTGGCCCAATGCATTCACAATGTTTCGCTCTTATTTATTTATTTATTTACTTTTCTCTCAATACTTAATGAACTAACATAATATTTTAACATCTATAAAAATAAATGACTAAATCTTTCAAGTTCAAAGTCACTGCATTAATTTAATTTTTCAAATATTTGTGGTATTAAATTCTTTTATCCATTAAATGTTTTAATGCATGAATACAGTTTTATCTAATTACTGATGAACTTCAAAATATATTTAAAATTTTAATATTTATGTAGCGTGTTAATGAAAAACCATTTTAATATATAAATAATCATAATTCTTAAAAGAAATTTTGTAAAAAATTAGATTTTTTTTAAAGTAGAAGTTTTTTCTAATAAAACATATATCCTTAATTTTATTTTATTAAGCTAATCAATCTTTGTAAGATAAAAAAAATTACTAACTATTGTCTTTAAATAATAAATTGATATTTGTATAAAATATCATATTGAAATATTAAACATGAACAAGTACTGTTCCTAAATCATGTATTTTAGTTACAGGTCAATTTTAAACTAAATATTTAAAAATTATTATTACCATCTAATTCAAGGGATAACACATATCTTCAACAAACTAAGTTTGTCTCGTGAATCCCTCCCTTCACCATCTGTTCATTTCATTGAGAGAAAAAATTTATAAGAATTTGACAGAGCGGAAATTGAGTAATGTAGGTTGATAATGCAATTGCGTTTAGAAAGAATGAGATGCATGAATAGACAGGGTATGAAATATATTTCCATAATAATGTGAAAAAGACTTGTTAAAATTCTTTAGTGTAAATAAGAGAATTGAGAACCAATTCAACTTCATGAAAAAGCAAAGTAAGAAGAAAGGAACAAATCAGTTCATCTTGTAATTATCCAATATAATAACATGCATTATCTACAAGAAGCAATAAATACAAAGAATGTTTATGTTCTTTTATTTATGTTGTCAATCCCTTCCTATACAAACTTACATGCAGATTTATTGTGATCAAAACTAACACCAAATTATTGATTCAATGTCACAAAGAATGAAGACAGATAAAAAAAACTATCATATTAATCCAAACTCACATTTATTTTATAAGAAAGTTAGTGTCAATACTTGTTCCCTTTCTCTTGAAAATAAGACAAATATTTACCTGCAATACATGATATGTTTATCTTAGCAATATAAGTTTCTCCATTCGCATCAGTTTGTAATGTACCTTTGGCTGAAGAATAAACTAGAGATTATGTTCTGGTTGCCAAATAATTGAACCTCTTCTGGTAATTTAATATCCTTTTGATACGAAGTCTCTTCCTTAATAGGAGAATTTTTGGATCGAGCAAGACGCTTCACACAATTCAAACGTAATGATTTTGTGTTGTTACCTGAATTTTCTTAAAATTATCAATTTGATAATATTTGATTTTGTCAACATTATATCTTTCCACTAAAAACACTCACCAAAATTGTCAACTGATATATCTTCATGTTCCTTAGCTATCAACTCCGCTGCAACCTGTTCACTAGAAGAAGCATCAACAATTGAATGTTTCAGGTTTCTTGCAAGACTTCTAACATGATTTAGACGCATACCCCTTGCTGAATTGGTTGATGTACAAAATAATGTTTCCAAGGGAACTGATGACCCTATTGGTTGCATTATAACATAAAAAATGAACAGTGAATTGCTAACTTTAGAAGAAGGAAAGGAATCTGGTAATCTGAACTTTACAATTGTCACCTTCAGCCAATTTATTTCCCATATTTAACATTTCTTGTCCTTGATTAGGGCCATAATGAGGGAAGCCTTCGCCTTGAGAAAAAGCTCCATATTCTATAAAGGTTGGAGAAGGAAAACCTTGAAACTCATCACTGGTGCTGGCTTCACCAGCACTTGATTCTAAAGGTTGAAATTGAGGAAAAGAAGTATATGGAAGATGAGCATTTGCAGCTCTTTGTCTTCTCAGTTGATAGTTTCTACGGCGTCTTGCAAGATGTCTTTCTCTCTGCTCTTGAGTCATTGATTGTCTCCTCTGCCTGTCACGGATGCGTCTCCTCTCCCTCTCTTGCTCTCTCTGCATTCTCTTTAACTCTCCCCTCTCTGAAAACTCCATACTCACTCACTCATCTTTCTACTTTTCTCCTTAACACCTAAATTTCTCTTTTCCTTCTTGTTTTTGGATGAATAACACTTGTTGATCCGCAACAAAACGATGATTTAGTTTTCCTAGAAAAATTAGACAGGGTAAGATAATTTTGTATCTAAGATGAAACTTATAAATACATCCATGATGTGATAATATAAGGCATTGTTATCTTTATCTAAATTTAAAAAAAAAAAATGGAAATCTGGCAAAGTATAAAACTGCTAACATAAGATATGTTTATCAAAATTGAAGATTGAGTTTGTAAGTTATTATTTGTGGATTTGAGAAATGAAAATATGAAAAAGAAGATATTTGTCACCTGTCACTGCGGATATGAATTGATACTGGGTAGAAAAAGGGAAGCACTTTGTAGCCGCATTAAAATGAAATGAAACATGGGTTGTGAATGATACAAAAATATTTGTTCTTTATTTAATTAATTAGTTGTTGTCGTTTTCTTTTTCTTGAGATTTGCATGACAAGGTTCGTGGACCTCCCTTGCTTCTGCGTCCCATAATAACGGTTCAATGGAGAATTTGCCAAATCATTGTCAACCTGAATCGGAAACTATATACAAGGTCCAACATTGCTCATCTTAGGTTGTAATCAATATATATGACTCTTTTTTGTTTAAATTTAGAAGAAAATCCGAAAAAAGGAGACATTATTTAAATTCCTTTACGTAGAAATTATTTCTTTTAATATTTAATGATTAGTATTTTTTATCCCTTATTTTATTTTTATTATTGATGTTTTTAAAATATTTATTTTGGTTTTATCTTCTAAATTTAGATCAGTGTTGTTTTTCTGAAATGGATTTTTTTTTATCAAAATTGTGTTCCATAGTTTTTAACAAAAAATGTGGTTCAGTCCATCTACAAGTTCAGCTAAGTTTTTTTTTTTTTTTTTTTATTCTTATACTTGCAAACAAATTTGGGGGTAATTTTTGCACTTTTAGTGAATTTTAGTTTTGGTTTTTATATTTTTGAATCGATAAATTTAATTCTCTAATCTTAGAAAATATGTAAATATGGATGAAAATCGACCAAGTCAAAATTTGTTGAGTTTAATTTTACCTTAGTTAAAAATACATTAAATGAATCTGATTTGTCTAATTTACGATTTTTTTTAAAAAAAAGGCTTATTTTAACTTATATGAAGTGTGCTTTGCTCTAAGTAAAAGTATATGTTTGAGTCTTTGTATACCTCAACATGCATACATTTGTACATTTATAACAACAACAACAACAAATATTTATTTATATTTAGGTAAATTAATTGATTTGTTAGATCTAGAACGCTTTCTAAAAATAATACAGTCTAACCATTTTTACTAAAAATGTTTAAATAATTGTCTTTTTTTTTAATTTATTTTTGAAAAGCCTGAATTTAATATAGGTTAGATCATTAGCTCATCTCAAGCCGTTTAACCTATTTTCACTACAATACGTGAATTTATTTATTTTTCTTATTTTATAATCAGTAAAAAATATTTATTAATATTAATTTTGAATACAAAGAGAGATTAAATTCATATATTTTTAAAATTTAGAGAATAAAATTAATTAATTTGAAAATATAATAATGATTACAAATATTTTCCATTATTTTCATGTACGAAAATTTAACGCGACAAGTTTTGCATATTGAATCATTAAAAAAAGGATTTTAAATTGTGCCTAGCATTAACTATGTTCAATAAAAAGTAATCTATTTTAGATGGAAAACATTAAATAAAATTTAAAAGTCAAAGAAAAAAGAGATTATCAAAGCAAAAATACAATTTTATCCAACTTTGAATATAAGAGATGTTTATAAAATAATGATTTATCAATAATTGGGTATATTGTGAACATAACCTTCAAATGAGGCATTAAGTTTAGGATGGCAAAACGGGTTAGCTCGTCCCGTCTTTGACCCGTTAAAAATGAGGCGGCATGATCGACTGTTATAGTCATGACGAATCGTAGATCTAGGCCTGTCATAATTTAGAAAAAAATAATTTACTTTTTAAAATAAATTTTTTAATAAATTTAATAATAAGATTATTATTTGTTTGTCAATAATTCATATATATATATTATTTTAATTTAACAATATAAATCAATATATTATTTTAAGAAGTTATAATTTAGAACAATAATAAAATTTACATAATAATAAATAATAACAAATATATATATATATATATATATATATATATATATATATATAACGTTAAAACTTATAAAATTTATATTTTTTATATTTAAAAAATTGAATACCTATATCTTTTTTATTTGATAAAACTTCATATTATTCTTGATTGAGTAATTCTTACACCTTTAATTCAAGTTATAAGGATAAAAATATCAGATGCTTAAGATGAACAAGGTGAACAAGAGAGAATGTTGTGTTTGAATAAGGAGAACATTTTCTCGTGAGAGTGAAACTTTCTTAATTCACTTTTTAAAATTTTTAACTTTATATATTATCTTTATAATTAATTTTATTACTATAAAAAATTATTTTTTTATTAATTAGGCGGGTCGCGGGCTAACCCGTCCCGTCCCGCAGGTTGGCCCGACGGGTGGCGGGCTTGGCGGGACGGGCCAAAGCGGGCTGGTGGGCTGAAAATACCAACCCGTCCTACCATATTATGACGGGCTGGCGGCCAGCCGAACCTGAACCATTTTGCCATCCCTAGTTAAGTTTCTATTATCTTTAATCAATTAACACTGATATGTGCTTATTAAGTAAATATCATCATCTAATTAAATTATAGTATAATGGATTTTTAATTTAACCACAAAAAATCAAGCTCATTAAAAATAAATAGTTACGATGATTGAAATTGTGATATCAACACGATTTACATGTCAAAAAAGGAATCATGACATCATTTACGTTTTGGCGTGTAAAATTCCTTAACCTCATCTCAAAATGACTATATTAAATTTTAAGAACTAAAAAAAAAACATTTCAATAACTATTTGAGTTTCTTTTTCCTTCATCATGTACAACAAGTTGAAAGACTTTATTGTATAACCCACAACAAAAGTTAAATGGATGCACGCTATGAGGGTCAAATTTCTAGATAAATTTTTGTTAAAAGAAAGAATAGAAAGAAAACTAGAAATTATAGATGAGTTAATTATAAAAATTCTATTATATAGTTTTTCTTTTCTTTTTTCTTTTAGAAATATTTATGAAGAAACTTGTGTAAACATGTCATAAATTTTTACATAACTAATCATGTTGAGAAAATGCGGATACTTAAAAAACGATTAAAGGTGAAAAGGGAAGAAGGAACAAAAAAAAGAGATAGATATAAGAGAGCAAGTCAGTAACATCTCCAAGCAGAAGATGTGCATAAGGGTCTTTTCTTCCATCCTAGATAGAGAGCACCATCTCTATGTTCTAGCCTATAATTTTCATTGAATTCAGTTAACATATTTCTAACTGCATTAGTGACTGAGGAACTCAAAGGGCATGGTGCAAAGCCAGCCATCGAAAATCTTGACCTCCACTTCCCCAAAAGTTCATGCCTTTCCACCCTCTCAGGCCCCTCACAAGCTATCATGTTAACAATGTCACGAGCCACACAGTGTTGTTCTGCGCTGATCCTTTGCTTATCCTGTCTGGGGAGGGCCACGTCTATTGACTCAAACATAGCACTGTAATAACTCAAGGTCTCAACAAACCTTTGGAAAAAGGGGGAAGTGTTGGTGTTGGATTCTTGCTCAACAAGGATCACAACCTTGGGTGACAAGCTCTTCACCAGTCTTAATAGCCTGTCCCTATGGTTCTCCGTGCTCACACTCTCATCTGGCATGTGATGCAAAACAAACGGGAAATTCACAGCTAGCGTTTCTTCGGGTCGAACTATAAGGTTTTTTAGTTCAACCTCGCATCCAGACATTGCAGCACTGTGGAACTCAAACGGCACTCCACAAGATTTGGCATAATCTGAGAGGCGATGTCCTACAATGTCAAGTCCTCCACCTCTTGCATGAAAAGATTGGGAATCATCGACACCAGTTAAACGAATGAAAGGTGGTCCACCTGGACGAGATGCAAGAGCCTGAATAAGCAGGAACCACTGAGTGCCCTGTGTAATTTGGAAGTCAATTATGTGAATTCTTGATTCATTTAGCATTGCTTCTCCAATGACAGCATTGGAAGATACGTAGGCAAACTTCCAATATGGACAAATCTGGTACAGGATGTGCATGTAAGTCATGAGATCTTTGCTTGCCGGTTGTTCACATTTCAAAGCTTTGTAGATTAGGCTCCCTGAAGACTCCAACCTTGCTCTTAGACCCTCCAACATGTAGGCACCTAACCTCCGGATTGGATCACCCCCAACTGAGACCATCTTTGGCAATACATTATTCATAAATCCCACCGCTGTTTCAATATCATCATCAGCCACAGCCTGTGCACACCGAATGAGGACTTCCTTCAAGTCTAGTTTTGGAATCATTTCAACGATCTGCTCCCAATTGTATTTAGCCATTGGAGACGCTCCGTGGTGGCCACCCTTGTAGCAGCAGTGACAACTGTCAACAATATCTGAATCAGGCCCCAACAATGAAATCTCAAGCTCTCTAAGCTTGTGCTTCAATTCATAGCTTTCATCAGCACTAGAGTGTGCACTTGTTGGTGATCCATAATTGTTGTCAGATGACTGATGCTGGTCTGAATGGTATGAATGAGAAGCTTGTGGAGAAAAAGGACTCCTATTGGAATTGGATGATACACTAGCATAGGAAGGAGAATCACAACCTATGAGATCATTGATTGCTGGGGATGATTCAAGGGTAAAGTATTGCTCCTTGCAGGGTTCAAAAGAAATAGAGGTTCCTTGACTGCTGCTATCATGGATTTCATGGCACAAATTGCTTTGCAATATTTGGTAACGAGTGTAGGGATCAATGTCTTGCACAGGCTGGTGGTATAAATGGATACCAGCTGAAGTTGGGTGTTTCTGGGACGTTTGCATCTAAAAGGAAATAATTTGCTCAGCGGAGAGATATTGATTAGAATAATGATGCTCTAATTTTTTAGTTGGCAAAATTCTTCCTCTGATCACCCGTTCACTATACGCATTAAGCTCTACACTTCCGTTTTGTTGGATGGTCAATCTTCATGTTGCTAAGCCGCCAGATGCTTTAAATATCAGCAAAACTTGTCGTCTACGATCTGCATAGTAGAATAGACTGTCAACGGAGATTCAATGCTCATTAAATAAAGCAAGATTTTTTTTTTTTAAATTGCCAAAACAAAGGCTTGATCAAATGAAGATGCAGTTTAGGAAGCACATGCTGATGTAATCTATAACAGAAAGAACTCAGGCCTTTAAGAGTTTCTGCGTGAATGTTTCGACGTAGAGAAAAAGTTAAAATCATGCTAGGATCCTCCAAGCACCAACACTCAAGGCACAATTAGAACGCCAAAAATGAAAAGATGCAAGGACTTCGTGGAAGAGAGTAGTTTTAAATACTCACTTGTCTTTTCATACACAAATAAGAACTCAAGGATATTTTTGTATATAATGAATCATGTTATACAATACACCACACCGGAGCAATTTATAGCATGAACGCAACATATCCCAGCCTTGCGATCGTGATGAATTGGAAGGGTCGCACAATTTCTTGAGGTGCAAAAGAAAGAAAGAACGAAGATTTTTTTTTTTAGAAGTTATCTACCACAAAACACAGGAAGGGAAAGTTAATTAGAATGGGGAAGAAGACCATTCAACTGCTCTAGAAATCACGAGATGCAAACTCAATGTGAGTCAAATTTAGAAAGGGTCAAAAGAAAGGGGAAAGATAAGGGCAAACAAATGCGCACTCCAATAAGTATTTCTTTCATGTAATAAGGAGGTATATTGTTGTTAAAACTCTTAACTTAATTAATATCTTATAGAGTTAAATCAGCAATACCTTTTAAAAAAATAAACCACTAGTAAAACTAAGAATAGTTTATATAATTAGAAACCAGAGAAGATCCTATAGCAACCAAAAGCACAGATTATAAAGCAAGAAGCAAAATAAAACAAGTTTTATTCCTTCTCTTGGAGAACTAACTTTTGAGCATCTAGACTAATACATAATTCACTTTACAGAGCATAAGGACTCTCAAAACTGAAAGCCATTAGCTCATCAAGAAAATCACCAGTAAAATGAAACAAAGAGAATAGCACAAAATTTATTTATTCCAATGAAAGGGATAATTCCAGAACGATTAGGAGAGAGAAAAAGGTGAGTAACTGCCAAATAAAGAGAAAGTAGTTTTTTAACTAAGTCGGCAAGAAAAAGCAGTTAAACACAAATATCAATGCTGTAAAAGCCAGATGCTAGAACAAAACCACCGCAAACATGGTCCAGACCAGAGCGTCCACAACCTCCATGTCAAAGATATGGAGCTAAAAAGCTCGAGAAACAAGAAACATACACATATCTAGAGACAACAAATCAGACCCGAAAATATTGACTGTTGAAATAGAAAAAAACAAAAGTTTCAGCAGAGTAACTCTAGTCAAACATGGTCCTCAAACAAACCACGATCAAAGTCCAACAAAAATAGAAAGAAAAGAACCACATGGCATCCCATCAACATTACAGGGAGAGGACAGACACAACATACCTTTTGTTGGGAACAAGGATTAGATTCAGAGGCAGGTCTTGCGTTGATATGTTGAGTTACGTGTTGTTTGGCAGAGATTCGTGGTAAGGAAGACAGTGGTTTTGCAGAGAGAGAGAGAGAGAGAGGGAGTTTCAGCCTGGTGTGGAGTCCAAAAACGATGGATTGGTAATCAGTGAGCGTTTTCTGTGATTTTAATGTTACATTACATCATATTATCATATGACAGATATTTATAATAAATAAATGCATGGTAAGAATTACCCTTATGAATGAACCATAATTACGTGATGACCCTTACGTGGGACCTGCATGTCACAGTGCTACTCGGTTTCAGAGTTAGCATCAGCCATGAGAAAAATACTACGGAATAGAATAGCATACCGAAATTAATCGAAGGGTCTTCTCCGACTCCGAGTAAAGTAGGTACTCGTTCTTAATTACCAGCACCCAAAAAATTAATACATAAACCCAACCCTACTATCTCTCAGTCTTATTTGTTACACTACAAACACATGCAAAACAAAGGAAAAAAAACATGTTTATATGTCCATTGTCTTCTAGCTGACACTTTTTTACCCACCATAGAATGTTTTATCATGTAAATTATTATTTTTACTATCTCAAAAAATCAATTATGGCGCACAAGAATAAATTCCCATGAGTTTGTTCAAGTTAAAAATGTGTCAATTAAGTTTGATCGAAGTTTAAGCATATAGTTGTATTAAAAGTAATTCAATTAAATATTTTTAGATGAATTTTATTGTTCATAGTTATCTAATTCGACTAAAATTTATTCTCCATAAAAACTAGTTGTGATCTAAAAAAGAAATTGAAGTTCCTTAATGAAGATGTTGAAAATAAGTTTTCAATGCAAAATTTAATCAATTTAATATTCATGTTTTATTTTAATATATAATATTCTCGACCATAAATTAGTTTTAGGTGGATTTAGTTTCATGTTAAATCAAATACGATTAATGTGAATAAACTTGATTTTTATTGTCAGATCACATTTTCAAAATTTATACACTGTGAAGAAAATATAAAATACACATTATATATGATCAATTTATAAAGAAAAGTATACAAGTTATAAAATCCCACATTTAGTGAGAAAAATTCACACCCTTTGTTGTTAAATAAAAAGTGCAGTGTTGTATAATTTTATCTGTTTAATAACCTATAAAGAAATAAATAAAAAATTAATGTTGCATTTTATGTGTTCTTTTTAAGTTTAAAATTTAGAAGAAGAAAAAAAAATAGTTTAGTTTCATAATTTTTTTCATAAACTCGAGATTAACTTATAAAATATGTTCCAAAAATAACGACATTAAGGATTTTCTTCAAACTAATTCAAACGCATCCTAATTCCTACCACATATTTGGTTTCTTAAATTGGCTGAAACCAAAAACCTGTTTGAGCTCAATCTCTTTGGACCAAATCTGATACATTCCTTGAAGCAGAAAATACAATAATATCATATTAAATTAATTGTTTAGCTTCAATTAACGATTAGAATGGGTCAATTTATATATATATATATATATATATATATATATATATATATATATATATATTAATAAAGGTATATTACTTCATTGAATTATAATAAATATATTGAAAGAAAAATAAAATATTTGTCACAAATTAGTTCATTATATTAAAGTTAGTTTAAAAGCTATATTAAACTTAGTTATTGATTGGTAACATGGATGGATTTTTTAAGCCAATTTAACCTTTATTTGAAGTTATTACTATCTTATCTAATTTAGAAACAATTTTAATTAAATATGTATCCTGAAATTGACTCTAAGGTCAGATTTTAATACAAAGAATAGAAAGATTTAATTAATATCTTTGGAGGTGATGATGGATTCAATCTAGCACACGAATCTAATGAACCAACCCAACTTGAACAATAAAAAATAAAAATAAAAAAGATGGAAAAGTATGTTTAATATCAGGTTGAATGAAATCATCAAGAGTGTAATCCAAACCCAGTCAAGTATTGAATTGTGATCTTGATCGTGATGAATATGCATCCGGTCATTGTTAGTATTTTTTATTCGCACCCATTTTTAATTTTATTTTATTTTTATCAACGTTTTAAAAAGAATTATCAAATAAATGTATAAAATATGGCATAAAATATATCGACCATAAAATTAAATAAAAATAATATTTTAAAAATTACATGGTATTGAATATAATTTATTTTAAAAAAATTAAATAAACTTTCCATGGACAAACCTTTTTTTAAAATGTTATTCCATTTCTTATGTATAGTTTGTGTTTCGAAATAATTTTGAATATATTTATTTATCTTATAATGAAATTCAACTGATCAAGTTTAATGAATAAATTCAACTTGATAAAATTTCTTTGACAAATTCAAACTAATCCAAACAAAAATTTAACCAAGTTTTAATTAGAGTTAATCCAATATAATATAGTGAATATTATCCGTGATTATAAAACAAAGGTTGATCAAAGATATCATCAGATACACTATGCATAATCTGAGTCGCCAAATTTAATTAATAGAAAACAATTTTTGTAAGTGATGTGAAGGGCAAAATTGTTAATAATAGATATTATATATTGAGAGGAACGAACAGTGTTCCAACTTTCTCATGCTATCATTAAGTCTATTATCACATTTTTAAATATTATCTGTTTTAATATATAATGATATTATATATTAAAAAAAAACATGAATAGAGTTTTAACTTTATGTCCATCTTAATTGTATTGTTAAGTTTATTATAACATTTAAAATATTATTATTTTTTTAAAAGACGTATAAGATAAAAGAGAAAAATATATATAAATTATTTTTAACTTCGATATACATATATATAAAAAAAGTAAACCTTTATTTTTTACTCTAATGATAAAAGATAGACAAAAAGGCTATATAAGTCAAAGAATACCTAACATATTTCGGAACTATCATTATACTTCGATCATCTACACAATTAATGTTTTGATAACTCATATTGATAGTTGATAAAATTGGAAAAGGACATGAAGACAAATAATCTTTAATGAAATACAAAATTAAATCAAGATAATTGAGAAATTTTTATTTATTTTGTATTTGGTTGAAAATTCTTCTTCTTCAAGATTTCTCTTAAATTTTAACATAATATTACCTCAATATCATATATGGGTCGGAAAAGTATTTATTGTATAAATGATTGACATTTTTTTTCCCATTCATAACCCTTTTGTCTATTTGAATTTTTCCTTTAATTTGTTTTGGATAATTTTATTAGTTGTCTCGATTTTTATTTATTGTGTTCGACCCGTGTTAGTTTGTACTAGTTTGTTGATATATAAATACATGT